AAATACTATTGATATGTTGGCATCATTTCATAAATTAGAAATCGATGCCATTCAGAAACAAACTTTAAAGTCTCAACAGCCATATTTCAGAGATAAAAAAATTTTGTAACAACTCGAATTGGAGAACAATATTATGGTAAATGGTGTATGCCAAAAATGGCTAAAAATTGTTGATCAAAAGCTCGTGCTCCTGGTCTCCGCTGTATTCTGCTCATTTTCTTATTATTTTACTGCAATGATTTTTTTGAATTTACTCATATTTTTTTTAGCAAATTTTCATGTTAAAAACAGAATCTGACGTTAAATTTTTTTCTCAAAACTCCTAAACTGATACAGCAATCTGCATGCACCGACTATAACCAAAATGTATTCAACTGGTATTGAAATAGTTACATCATATAAAGCAATTAACTTACCTTACGAAAATAACGTGTCCTCCCTCGTCTCTCTTGTGATTCTCTTCCACTCCCTTTCCCTTTGCTCCTGATTTCTGCCTTTATTTATCTTGAATTCAACATCTGCCTGGTGAAAAATGAAAGCAAATTGAAGATCTTGAAAAAATACGACAAAAAACCTCAAATCATCGGTTGTGGGTAACTTTTTTTTCCTTTTTTTCCCAGGTGGAGTCAGGAAGGATCCTATGCATCTGTTCTCTGATTGATTGACTTATACCCAATCGTTTTTACCGCGAGTTTTCCTTTATTTCCAGATTCTGGAAAGCCTCAATCACTCGACCTCCAAGGTCTCTATATCAATTCCCCAAACCGTCCGACAGGAATTTCTTATAATCTTGCTTTGAGAATTTCGTGTTGAATCAAACAATTTTTCCCCGTTGATAGCTGGTCAAACAGTTAGCCACTTAGCCAGTCAGCCAGCCAGTCAACTAGTCAGCCAGCCAGTCAGCCAGCCAACCAGTCAGCCTGTCAGTCAGCCACTCGGTAAGCTAGTGAGTAAGTCAGTCAGTCAGCAAGTCAGCGAGCCAGTCAGTCTGCCAGTCAGCCAGTCAAACAGCCAGTCAGTTAGTCGGTCAGCCAGCCAGTCAGTCGGTGAATCAGTCGCCAAGTCAGTCAGTCGGTGAATGAGTTGCCAAGTCAGTCAGTCGGTGAATGAGTCGTCAAGTCAGTCATTCAGTCAGTCAGTCAGCCAGTCAGCCGGTCAGCCAGTCAGCCGGTCAGCCGGTCAGCTGGTCAGCCAGTCAGCCAGTCAGCAGGCTAGGCACTGATTAAGTCAGTCCGTTGGTCAGCCAGTCGGCCAGCCAGTAAATCAATCAGTCAGTAAGCCAGTCAGTCAGTCGGTCAGCCACTTGGTAGGTCAGTCAGCCAGCCAGTCAGTCAGTGAGTCAGTCACCAAGTCAAGTCAGTCAGCCAATCAGTCAGCTAGTCAACAAGTCAGCCAGCCAGCCAGCCAGCCAGCCAGCCAGTCAATTCACCAGTAAGTCAGTCCATCAATCAACCAGTCAGCCAGTCAGCCAGCTAACCAGCCAGACAGTCAGTCAGTTGGTCAGTTAGCCAGTCAGCTAGCCAGCCAGCTAGTCAGTCAGCCAGTCAGCCAGTCAATCAGCCAGTTAGCCAGCCAGTCAGTCAGTCAGCCAGCCAGTCTGTCAGTCAGTCAGTCAGTTAGCCAGTCAGCCAGTCAGGCAGCCGCTCAGTTAGCCAGTCAGTTAGCCAGCCAGCCAGCCAGTTAGCTAGCCAGTCAGTCAGTCAGTCTGTTAGCCAGTCAGGCAGCCGCTCAGTTAGCTAGTCAGTTAGCCAGCCAGCCAGCCAGCCA